TTGACCAGGATGGTCTCGATCTCTTGACCTCGTGATCCACCCGCCTCGGCCTCCCAAAGTGCTGGGATTACAGGCTTGAGCCACCGCGCCCGGCCTAAATTTTGTATTTTTAGTAGAGATGGGGTTTCACCAATGTTGGCCAGGCTGGTCTTGAACTGCTGACCTCACGTAATCTGCCCACCTTGGTCTCCCAAAGTGCTGGGGTTATAGGTGTGAGCCACCGTGCTCAGCCAAAATTGACTTTTTAAAACAGTAATTATCCCTGAGAAATATTCTCAGGGATAATTACTGTTAACATCCCTCTCCCCAAAAAGCAAAAATAAGCAAGAAACATAAATCTCTCCAGCCACAGATGGCTTTCCTGGTAAATTCTATCAAATTTTAGAGAAAGAAACAATATTAATTCTACTCAAAATCTTCCAGACATTTGAAGAGAAACTACTACTTCTCAGCTCATTCTGAGGCCAGCATTACCTTGATACCAAAACCAGACCAAAGTATTATAAAAAACTACGGACCAATATCCATCATGAACATAGATTAAAAATTTTAAACAAAATTTTTATTTTATGTATTACTGAATTTAACAATACATAAAAAGGATGTTAGATCACAATTAAATGGAGTTTATCCAAGAAATGCAAGGTTGGAATGGAATATTACACAGCCATTAAAAAGAACAAAGTCACATCCTTTGTGGTAACATGAATGCAGCTGGAGGCTGTCATCCTAAGAGAATTAATGTAGGAACAGAAAATCAAATACCACATGTTCTCACTTCTAAGTGGGAGCTAAACATTGAATACACGTGGACAGAAAGAAGGGAACAATAGACACTTGGGCCTACTTGAGGGTGGAGGGTGGGAGGAAGGTGAGGATTGAGAAACTACCTGTTGGGTATTATACTGATTATCTGGGTGACAAAATTATCTGTATATGAAACCCCTGCAACATGCAATTTACCCATGTAACAAACCTTCTCATGTAACCCTTGAATCTAAAATTTGGAAAGAAAGAAACAGAAATGCAAGAACTGTCCATATTTGAACATCAATCAAAATAATTCAACAAATCAACTAACTAGAGACAAAAAGCATTTAAAAAACTTTAACTACAGTTAACATACTTAATTAATGGTGAAAGACTGAATGCTTTCCCCCTAAGATCAGGAAGAACAGAAGGATGTCTACTCTCACCACTCCTATTCATCATCATCCTGAAGGTTCTCACCAACGCAATAGGGCAAGTAAGAGAAATGACAGACACAGAGATTAGAAAGGAAGGAATAAAATTGTATTTACAGACAGCATGATAGTCTACATAGAAAATCCTAAAAAAACTATAAAAAAGCTAGAATAATAAAGGTATGAGATAAGTTAATATACAAAAATAAATTGTATTTCTATATACCAGCATAAACAACTAACTGGATAAACAATTTGGCAGTTTCTTATAAAGTTAAGCATATTCTTTTCATATGAACCAGTAGTCCCTCTCTTAGGTATTTACCCAAGTGAAATAATTAGTTTACATAGAAATGTGTATGTGTTTTTAACAGCAGCTTTATTTATAATTGCCAAAACCTGATGGAAAAAAAAACCTAAGATATCCTTCAACAGGTGAATGGATAAACAAACTGTGGTACGTTCATACAATGAAATACTACTCAGCAACAACATTAACAACAACAAAAACACGCAAACTACAGATATACACAACAACACAAATGAATCTCAAATACATTATGCTAAGTGAAGGAAGTCACACTTCCTTCTGTTTCTATTTCTATGACCCTGATGGAAAGGGAAAATAATCATGACAGAGTACAGAGTAGTGTTTGCCAAGGGCCAGGGGTGTGGGAGGAATTGTCTACAGAGAGGTATAGGGGAATTTCTGTGAATAAGAGAACTATTCTGTAACTTGATTGTTGTAGTGGTCACACAACTGTATATGTTGTCAAAACACAGAGAACTGTACAATAAAATGGTAAATTTTATTGTATGTCAGTTATGACTTGATAGAATAAATTAGGGAAAAATCAATGTCATTTGCCATATAACAGAATAAAAACTGACCAATCAACCATCAGATTATCTCAATAGAAAAAGAAAAAAAAAGCTCCTGAAAAAACCTAACATCAATTTGTAATAAAAACTTTTGCAATCTAAAAAAAGGAACTTCTTCAACCTGATAAAAGACATATACCAAAAAATCTATAGCTATTATCATACTTTACGGTGAAAAACTGAACACTTTCTGCCCAAGATTGGGAACAAAGCAAGGCTGTAGCCTCTCACCATTGTACTGGAGGTTCTAGCAAGTGCAATAAGGCAAGACAAAGGTTAAAAAAATAAAAAAGCACTAAACAGAAAAGAAACAAAATTGTTCATATTTGCAGATGACACATGATTGCCTAGGTAGAAATTCCTGAGAACTGTAAAAAAAGCTTTGAGAACCAAAAAGAATATCTAAACAGTTGGAAATGGAAATAAAAATGCCATTTCCAAGATCATGAAAATATGAAATACTCAGAGATATGTTTGACAAAAGATGTACAACACTTGTACACTAAAAACCAAAATGCTGCTGAGAGAAATTAAAAACCTAAAGAGATGTATAGCATCCATGTATCTAAATATTCTTAACATGTTAATTCTCCTCAAATAGATTTATAAATTCTATGCAATCATAATCTAACTCCCAGCAAGCTGCTTTGTAGAAACTGACAAGATAATTCTAAAATTTATATGGAAATGCAAAGGACCCAGTTTTCCCAAAATAATTTTGACAAAGAACAACAATTTTGGAGGACTTACACTACCCATTTCAGGATTTCTTAAAAAGTAACTGTATTCAAGACTTTTTGGTATTGGCATAAAAATAGACATATAGATCAATGAAACAGAATCTGAAACAGATGTATGGATATTTGATTTTGACAAAGGTGTCCAGTCAAAATGAATCACAGACTTAAATGTAAAGCTTAAAAATATACAACTTCTAAAAGAAAACTTAGGAGGAGATCTTAGTGAGCACTTTTTTTTTTTTTTTTTGGAGATGGAGTCTCACTCTATCACCCCAGGCTGGAGTGCAGTGGCACAATCTTGGCTCACTGCAACCTCTGCCTCCAAGGTTCAAGTGATCCTTCCACCTCAGCCTCCTGAGTAGTTGGGACTACAGGCTCATACCACTGTGCCCAGCTAATTTTTGTATTTTTAGTAGAGACGGGGTTTTGCCATGTTGGCCAGGCTGGTCTCAAACTCCTGACCTCAGGTAATTCATCCACCTTGGCCTCCCAGAGTACTGGGATTACAGGTGTGAGCCACTGCGCCTGGCCAAATATTTCTATTTAAAAATTTTTTTTGAGACAGGATCTTGCTCTGTCACCCAGGGTGGATTGCAGTGGTGCAATCATGGCTCACTGCAGCCTTGACCTCCCAGGCTCAAGTGATCTTCCCACCTCAGTCTCCCTGGTAGCTGGGACTACAGGTGGGTGCTACCATGTCTGGTTAATTTTTTAAAAATTTTGTTTTGTAGAGACAGAATCTCACTTTGTTGCCCGGGCTGGTCTTAAACTCCTGGCCTCAAGCAATCCTCCTGCCTCAGCCTCCCAAAGTGCTGGGATTATAGGTGTGAGCCACTACACCCAGCCAAGATTTCTTAAATAAGATACGGAAACTGTTTAAGTATAAAAGAAAAAATATCAATAAATTGGATGGCATTAACATAATAGAGGTTTGCTCTTCAAAAGACATTGTTACAAATTGAAAAGGGCAAGCCACAGCCAGGGAGAAAATATTTGTAAAACATAGAAGTCCTCTGTTAAATATATCTAGAATATATTAAGAATTTTAATTTGGCTGGGCACAATGGGAGGCAGAGGCAGGTAGATCACGAGGTCAGGAGATCGAGACCATCCTGGCCAACATGGTGAAACCCCATCCCTACTAAAAAAAAAGTACAAAAATTAGCTGAGTGTGGTGGCAAGTGTCTGTAATCACAGCTACTTGGGAGGCTGAGGCACGAGAATTGCTTGAACCCAGGAGGCGGAGGTTGCAGTGAGCTGAGATAGCACCACTGCACTCCAGCCTGGGTGACAGAGTGAGACTCTATCTCAAAAGAAAAAAAAAGGGGGAAAAAAAAAAAAGAATTTTAATTCAATAATAAGAAAAAGATAACCCAATTTAAAAATGGGGACAGATTTGGATAGATATTTCACAAAAGAAAACATACATATGGCAAATAAGCACATGAAAGGATGTTCAATATCATTAGTCATTACAGAAATGAAAATTAGAACCACAGTGAGGTTCTACTACCCACCCACACAGAATAGCTAAAATTCAAAAGACTGACCATACTAAGTATTGGCAAGAATGTGCAGCAACTAGAACCCTTATACATTGCTAGTAGGAATATAAAATGGTACAACTGCTTTGGAAAACAGTTTGGCAGTCACTGAAAAGTTAAAACATACACCAATCATACAAGAAAGCCATTTTACTCCTAGCTATCTACTAAAAAAAAAATTTAAAAAAATCCACACAGACTTGTACACAAATGTTCAGTGCAATATGTAATAGCCAAAGACTAGAAACCACTCAACTGTGCATCAACAGGTGAATATAAAAACAAATTATGGTCTAGCCATACAATGAATGGGATGCTACTCAGCAATAAAAAGGAAAAGAAGTTGTATATGATTTATGCAACCACATGGATGAATCTCAAAATAATTGTGCTGAATAAAAGTCAGAAAAAAAAATACATACTGTATGATTCCAGATGAAAACAAATCCATAGTGACAGAAAGAAGATTAATGGTTGCCTGGAACCATTGTGGGGATATAAAAGAAATATATATGAAATGGGGAGTAGAGGGTTAGACCAGAAAGGAGAAGGAGGGATTACAGAAGAACACAAAGAAACTTTAGGCAATGAAGCACAATGTCATTATCTTGATTGTGGTGATGATTTCATGGGTGTATACATGTGTCCAAACTCATCAAATTATACACTTTATTTTTTCTTTTTGAGACAGAGTTTCACTCTGTCACGCCCAGCTTGGAGTACAATGGTGGGATCTTGGCTCACTGCAACATCCGCCTCCCGGATTCAAACAATTCTCCCTTAGCCTCCCAAGTAGCTGGGATTACAGGTGCCTGTCACCACGCCCAGCTAATTTTTGTGTTTTTAGTAGAGACAAGGTTTCACCATGTTGGCCAGGCTGGTCTCAAACTCCTGACCTCCAGTGATCCGCTCACCTTAGCCTCCCGACCTGCTGGGATTATAGGTGTGAGCCACTGTGCCTGGCCAAATTGTACACTTTAAATATATACAATTTATAACATGTCAATTCTACTTCAATGAAGCTGTTTAAAAAAGTAACTGAACCTCAACAGGGGCAAGGATAGAAAGAGTTCTATACTCCTGGTCTTTAACCAAGGCTTTCAAGTAGAACTTCAGATTTTGCAGTGTTTACTTCTAAACAA